TTCTCTTGCCCTATATTAAAAAAAAATAAATTTATTATTTTATCAGAAAAAGAATCAATAAATAAAAAACAAGTAAAGTTACATGAAAATATACAAATTTAAGCTTATTAATCTTTCTATCTCTCTCTTTTAGGAAAATAAAAAAATTAAAATTAAATTAAAATATGAAATTTAAATACTACATTAATCTTATTATTCGCTCTATCTCTCTTTCTTTTATACTTCATTTAAACAAAATAAATGTATTCTAATGTTTAACAGAAACCAAAAATAAAAATAAAAAATAATAAAATAAATAATAATATAATAAAATATATATAATAAATTTAATAAAAATAATATTGTAAAATAAATAATAAAGAAATAAAAATATAATAAAAATAAAAATAAAGTTATATAAAAATAATTAAATAAAAAATAAGGACAAAGTCTCGTAAATCTGAAAACAACTTGTTGCATATAGGATATAGATATTTAGCCCAACACTGTTTTTAAAAATTAACTTTATATTATGAACTAAGAAAATAGCTACTGATAGCTACTGGACTAAGAAAAGTTAAACTACTTTTCGTCTAAAATATTTTTAACCATTTTACACAGATATAACTGATATCTTTTCAATTATATATTATTCAATTACACATATGAATTAGCTTTGGATTAGTTGTCAAAAATCTTTCTAAAATGAGTCTATGTAAACATCACTGATAAAAAATACATACATCTGATCAAAGAAACCCTCTGGGAAATTAAATTACTACGAGTAAATACATTTTAAATTAGGAACGTTAGGGTAACATAAAAAATCTATAGGGGGTTTACGTAAAGTCCTCAGCACGCTCCCGCTAGAACCGAAAACCTAAACATTTTTATACATATATAATAATAAACGACATAATATCGGTGAAAATTAAATAAATAAATAAATATTGAATTTAAAATAAATTAATACCAATTACAAGAATCAATGCTAAAATTATAAAATTCTATATAATTCTACATACTAAAATAATAAAGGTAAAATAGAAAATTTATAATTAACTTATAATTTAAATTAATTTTATATAGTATGCATATTAATTAAAAAAAAAATTTAATAAGGATATAGGTTTCTATATAGGATAGTAAGGTACTGTTGAGTTGAGGTTGAGTGTTTAGCAAACAAAAACTATCCCGTCTGTCTAAAGTAGGCTAGTATGTCTCGAGGAGTACCTGACAACTAATGTGGCTAAGTAGTTCTGACAGATTTGACTTCTTTTGGTGCAGAACAAATTAAAGAAATTAAATAATTACTTAAACATCAAAATAACAAATAAAAAATTAATCAATCAAAAAACTTATTTTGTTTTTAAAAATTAAATAATAATAGAAAAGTCTTATTTAATAAATAAAAATAAATATAAATTTTTTGGGTGTTAAGTAATAATAATTAATTATAAATGTATTCATATCATGTTTTTAAAATTATTGTACAATCGATTGATCAGTTATAAGCGTGCTTAGAATATCTCATTATTTAAGTTATTAATTATCATTATCGAAATAAATATAATTAAAAGTGTCATTATTTATATGGATAATGGAATTCACTTTTTAATATACTTTAAGTGAAATTTTTAATGAAAAATTCTAAAGACTTTCAAATTTATTACTGTTACATTATTAAATTCACATCGAAAACTTATTTAATATACATAACATATAAACAATTATCTAGACCAGGTTTTCTGCACATTATTTTTGGGAAGATATTGGTACCGGTAGGTTAGTGTAACTCGCCTTTCCTAGACAATTTTGAGAACATCACGAAGATATCTCCAATATATAACAATAGATGTCTTAAAATAGAAGTGCTGAACCTATCTCAGTATATGCAATCTCAACTTAACCTAACCTATGTACCGATTCTTCTAAATTACTTTGAATATTTTTCCTGTCCGCAGTGCGTTAAGTATTGAGAAATACTAATATAGATAATGTAATTACAAATTATCATCATTTATGTTTCTAGTATTTTATCGACTATAATAAAATAAAACCACTAACATATTTGTGAAATATTATATATAACATTAACTTTGAAACTCTAATGCGACAAATAAATTTATTTTTTTAACAATAATGAATTTATATGAATGACATTAATATACTGCAAAATAATAGCTTATGGTAAATGTTATGCCCGGTCACTCGGACAGAGTACAGCATATACCCCAATACTTAAATTTTCTAAAATTTTTCCTTTTGCGAATTTATTTGTTAGTTAATTGTAAGAATATATAATAATAACTTTCAATTATTATATTAATGCCAATTTTAATAGTTGTTAAAAAATCATTACATCAAAGAAAAAAAAAAGTTTTGTCTTGATCTTTTTTCTTGACTTTAAAGTTGTAATGGGGTGTCTGATATATACCACGAGTGATGGCGTTAAAAAGTAATGGTGGTGGGAGTGATGAAAGTTCAAAAAAAAAATACTGACATCTTAGGTTGTAATGCCCTACTTATAATGACTCCTACAATGGTATATCTTAAACCAAATATATCAGTACAACATGATGTGAATGTTAACAAACTAATTTTATCAACTGCGCAAATATGTAGTAAATTAAAAAAAATTGTATTTACGTCATCCATTAATATAAAACTAATTGTGATAAAAGCTATACACATTCAAAACTTACTACATTTTTTAAATATAACTAAATTGCATAGAACAATAAACTATGTAAAAGGGTTTCCGACTACTTTGTGTTAAAATATTAAAATCTGAATTCTAAATATCATTTGTTCAAATTAAGACCAATCTGTTCAATTTACGACACTGTTGAGTTTTCCTCACTGTCGTCTCGTTCGTTTAATAAACGTCGATCACGACTTTCCAAAAAAGCCCACACCAATAATGGTGTGCAACCAAGTACCATACAGGAACCCATACAATAAAAAACTACCTCATAACTTCCAGAGAGATCGCGTAGAAAACCGGCTAGTGGTGGTACTGATATAGCACCAATACTCTGAAACATGCGTACCAAACCATAACTGGAACTAATACGATCTGTGCCGAAAATATCTGCCAACAAAACTGGCATTAACACATACCAGCTACCGAGGCAAAGACCATAAAGTGCAGCAGATAATCCAACCATATAGAGTTTTTGTTCTGACGGTAAGGTAAGTACAGCTGTGCCAGCGCCAAGAATACTGCAAAAAAATAAATTTAAAATAAGTAAACAATATTATTAAATGTAAAATGATTTTTTACCAGAAAATGTATATTTTTTTTCGATCAAATAATTGTAAATCTGATAGATAACCGAGTCCTAAGCGTCCACATAAATCTAGCACAGCACTTACTGCTACTAAATATCCTGCTTGACTTTTATTGTAACCTAAATATAGGCAGAGTTTAGTTTAAAATAATTCCAATTATATTTTAAAAAGTTTTATTTACCAATAGAGATCACGTGTGCTGGTAAGTAGTATAACATATATGGACAACCTACTGAAGTTAATGTTACCGATAAGCACATTAGTATAAAAATAGGATCTTTCAGCAAGCTTATATCCAAATACATTTCAATCCGTTCACAGCATGTCCGTGGTTCATTTTCATTATCGTCTTCTTCAATACTATTCTGTCGTTTTATACCAGCTGCAATTGCATTGTTAACATCATCATTGGGCTTCACTTTAGATGTATTTGTTACTGGTGTCGGTATTTCCATACTTTTACTTAGACCACGTGTAACCACGACAGGTGGTGATAATGGCTTTTCCAAATGCGCTTGAATTTTGGATATAATTTCATCATTGGCGAATACATTTTTACGTCGCCTACTACCACGATTCGAATCAGTACCGGAGTGTTTACGATAAACCCAAGTAGAATCGGTACTTAAATCCTCGACTGAATGCATAATTCCTGAACTTCGAACTTTTTTCATAGGTTTGATAAATGTGGTTTCGCCAATAATATCTTTACATTCATCATCACTTTCTTGTTCAATGTTATTGTTGCGTTGCTTATCATTAACTGCGGAATATTTAATATTATTAACAAAAAATTCACTATGTATAATTAATATTTTTTGTTTTATTATAAAGAGCTGTGTAAATATTTTATTTTTAGATATATAATTTGCTCGAAATTATTAATTTAATAATGAAAACTATAACTGTTAATACGGTCGGCGAAGTCAAGGGGGAAACCTGTCGCATGTCTTCCTTAAAAAAATGTACTTGATCTAAATTTTTTAGTCAATAGATGACTTAAGGGGTGGGAGCCCTCCTAAATTTGATGGATCGATGGATAAGGTATGATTATGCGCTTGTATTGGCAATCGTTTGCAGCAATTGAAACCAGATTCCCGATTTGAAAACCTTTGTTTTGATATTGTGGTACAATTTTAATGCTTATTACATTTCAATAAACATTTTCTTTCTCTCGTCATTTTTATATGATTATATAAATTTTTTAAAAAACCGCTACCTCAGCCCCTGATTACCCCTATAATTATTATTATCATGATACCCACAAAGTACTGACACCCATTTCTATTAAACAATTTGGTTTCAATCAAGTACTTCAACATTTTGATTTAAGACTGTAGTCAATTCTGTCAATTCTTCAACGTTTTTATTTTTAGAATTACTATTAGAATCACTTTTTTTAATTTGGCTTAAAGCTATAAAGTCCAGAGGTATGTTATATATAAAGGCAAGCGATATTTTTTTAAATAACTTGGAAGAAAATGAAAATAGATTATGTTTTTAAGAATTTGTTAATATAGTCAAATTTTTTTTGGAAATTGCTCCTTTATTATATATTAAAGCAATTTTCTGATCAGTACTTGTATATATTATTTTTCTGTCAAGTTGCATTGGAAGAAATTTTAAATTAAACCTGACTTTTTAAGTATGTATATGTTTTCTAAAGAGGCTCTCAAGTTTTACAGCCTTATTACCACATTTTACAACTTACCATGATTTTTCCCGGAATAGTAGTCATTTAACCGATTTTTAGACTCCTCCAAAAAAAGATGCTCAATATATTTGGTACTTAAACCATCTTCACATGTGTTCAAATATGTAGAATTAGTTAAAACACCCGTTGAACTGGGATTTATATCATTTAGAGGTTTTGCCGACTCTTCGTCTTCATTTGTTTGTGTTGCATCATTTGAGTAATCTTCCAAGGGCTTATAGAGTGTAGCAGAAATGCAAACATGTAGCATACAAACTCCCAATATTAAAATTGTGCCATGAAATCCAAAATGTTCTGCTAAATGTTTAATTAAAACGGGCAGTATGAAACTACCTGCAGCTGTGCCGGAGACACATATACCATTAGCTAATGCACGATGTGCATCAAAGTATTGCGATACAATGACAATACCAGGTGTGGTAGACAGACCACCTCCTATGCCTACAAATAGAGAAATTAATTTTTGTTTTTTTTTTTTTAACTTAAGCTATAAAAAGTTTTACCTGTTAAAATACCAAAAGTGAATAGTAAATGTAGTAAACTTGTAGCAAAGTAGCTCAATGTTAAGCCAAAAGCACAAAAAAGACCACCAACAAAGACTACTGAACGACAAGAATATTTTTGGCACAAAGCACTTGAAAGTGGTGCGAGAGCCAAGCACAATGCAGAGAGAATCGCTGGTATCCAAGAAGCAACAGTTGCAGTAGAGCTTGGAAATGTTTCCATGATTTCCACATACAAAACTCCATAGGACTTTACCAAGCCAGCTACCCAAAACTGCACAGAAAAAGCGCCAAAAACAATAAGCCAACCATAACCACCATCAGGTGGGTCTGCATTAACTGAAGAGCGAGAAGATGGTGGTCCGCCAGCAGTCACATTTTGTTCACGTCCAACACGTGTTGTAGCCAAAATTTTTTGCTGTTGCTGTTGTTTAAAATTGGTACACTTTGAAGTTGCCTTCTCGACTTCCAATTGTCGACTTGAACGCAACTCTCGCGATTTGGCAATTAGTGGTCGCGCAGTAATGCTCGAAACAGTTAACAGGTTTTCATTATCATCTTCTTCAATTTCAGAGATTTGATGTTCCAAAAGGCTGGAGTGCAGCGTACGACTTGGTGCCGTTGCTGGACTATAGGGAGAATCGATGGGCAATGTAATTGGTCGTCGAGGCATGGTTGCAATTGCGTTTGCGTTGACAACCGCATCGACGGATGTTGTGGAGAGTATGTTACTGAATGCGCTTTGTAAATTGCCTCCCCCTTGTAATCCAATACTGCCGGCTGATGCAATATTTTCAATTTGCTTGACATCAAGTTCGGCCAATGGTACCGGTGGTGCTGACACAATTGAGAAGAGTGAACCGGTTGTACATTCGGCGAGCAGAGATGGTGCTGCAGGTTGTGAACTTGCTGCAAATGACATATCGCATCCAACTCTTTCTTGCAGTTGAGCATGGTTGTTGGGGCTGCTGTTGTCAACAGCATCGGTGGATGAGCGAATGAACCTTCCCGACTTGTGCTGGATTCTACTAGTTGGGTCCGGTTCACTCGCGCAGTACAACGATCCCCGTGAATCCTAAAATGAGAAACAATGACATGTGTAATAGTAATTTTTAAATTTAAATTATAGATACTAATGAACATAATTAAAAATTAATATAATTAAGGGAAAAAATAAAAATAAAATAAATAATTTTTTAGAAACTACTTATAAAAAATATTAAGATTTAGGATTCAAATGACCATTTTGAAGAAACTTGGTGGAAAAAAGAAAATATGGAAAATAGAGAGATCAATTAATATAGAGAAGATAGTGACAGATAGGATATCGACGATATCCCTTCTTCGTGAAGAGACAAGGGTTTTGTATGTTTATGTTTGTTAAGAGTTTGATTCGGCGATACATTTTTAAAAGTCATACTTCCTCTTATAGACTGTCGCATCGATATCGAGCTAAATTAAATTAATTGAATTACTGTCAAAATTTTTTATTAATTGAAAATACAATTTCCTATCAAGTAATGAAGCAATTCAATCGAGTCAACTTTACTGTATTGCTTAGGAAAGATGAAAATGTTAATATAAAAAAAATTGTGACTTTTTATAAGAGATAGATGACTTCTTTCGAGTTAATGGTCGAAATAGAAAAAATAATAAATATCTAAAACGTTGAAAGACACACCATATCCTAACACAAGATATTTGGACTATATAATAAGAATGTCTACCAATAGAAGAGTGAACAAGTTTAAGTGAAGAGTGCTACTTAAGGCAAGAAGAAGAGTGTGTCTGAAGTTTCACACTCTTCTTCCAGACTACTACTTGTTTCTTCTCATATGTGTAATGGAAGTCAACTGTTAATCTATAAAACTTCTTCACTGTTGATGGCATATTTTTACTTTATAATTGCATTATTTCTGTACGGTAGTTGCACTGAATCATCAATACGGCCAAAATCATCTTAAAGAACAAAAAAATCGTGTGAAAAATTTCAGAATATGTAAGTAAAATTTAAAGTTCTATCTCAAACCCTCTGTTATCTATATAATGTAATATACACCGATTTCAAAACTCTAGGATTATAGGAATAAGAAAGAATCACGATCTATAAAGTGTGATAGTTAGAAGTGGTTAAGGAAGAATGGTTCACCCCGAATAGTCATGTGAAGAGAGAAGAATGAGAATTTTCTTATGCATATCTGTTTTTATGCATAAGAATTAAGATTTAATTTCCTGTAAGGATTTTATAATATTCTCAACCAAATAACGCAAAATATATGAAACGACCTTGTACTTGTCTTGTTAATAAACATTATTGCTTCTATTGAAAACTTTTTCCAATTTGTCAAAGAATATAAATTGTTTTATTACTTCTCAGATTGTACATCAAGTAAGTTACGACCGAATTTAAAACTATTTCATATCGATTAAACAACAAATCCGTGCATACCATGAACAGTCCACGTGAAGGAGGATGCAAACAATTGCAATTTTTTATACTCACAAAATAAATAAATAATGAATGAATTGACGTGGCGATTTTCGTTTGTCCGATGGAAAACATTTCCTTTAGCAAAGCAATGACATGCAATGAAGGAAAACGCGCCACTCCTTCACTGAATTCATACAATTTCTGTTGTTGATAGCGGTTCAAGGATGACGTTCGCTAGGTAAACTTTGCGTGTTCCTTGTAATTTAATGGGACTCAATTTTCCTCTTATAATTGCTGTTGCATTTGGATTGACTAATGCCTTGTAATGAATTACAACTTGTCGTTTCAAAAGAAAAAATTATATATACAGTCGTGGTATTAACCTTCATGTCATAATTTAAAGTAATTTAATTAATTTGTTGATGGCTCCTGGTATCAACTGTTACATGACAATATTAATTCATCAAAAATTAATTATTGCATTTAATGTACTTATTCAAATTTTTACAAACTTTTTCTTTATTGAGATTCACAGAATGGTACCGAAAGTATAAAATGAAATTTTTATTTTAATAAACTGACATACGTAGACATAGCCGACGATGTAGCTAAAGAAATATAATTATTAAACCCAATCTACTAAAGTTTTGATTTTGTTTTTCGTAATGCTTGAATTAAGGATGTTGATTTTGCAGAGTGATTACCAGAAAGCTTAGTCTGGTAAGGTATCTTGATCTGGTACCTAGTATTAATGTGGTACGAAAGCATAATCTGATACGGACTCTTAATCTGGTGCAGTACTTAATCAAGTATCGTCCCTTAATCAGGTACAGCACTTTAATCTGGTACGGTATCTTAATCTGGTGCAGTACTTATTTAGATGTCATACCTTTATCGTGCATTGTACTTAAATCTAGTACGTTACCTTAATTTGGTATGAAACCTTAATCTGGTATGGTACCTTAATCTGGTGTGATACCTTAATCTCGTACGGTACCTTTATCTGATACGGCACTTTGATTTGGTACGGTATCTTGATCTGGTGTAGTACCTTAATCTGGTATGGTACCTTAATCTGGTACGGTATCTTAATCTGATACGGCTCTTTAATTTGGTTTGTATTTTTATCATCTGATATCATTTTATTTAGAAATAAAATTGTTTATCGGCTAGCAGACAAACCAAATTAAAAAGCTTATATTTAAAAATTTTCAGGATATATTTCGTTCTGTTTTTTAGAACTTCATCAGTGCTACAAATTATTGTTAGAAACAAATTACATATTAAATTTAAAATTTTTTAAATTTTTAAATTAAATTTTTAAATAAAAGCTTTTTAATTTGGTTTGTCCGCTAGCCGATAAACCATTTTATTTCTTTAATTTGGTACGGTATCTTGATCTAGTGTAGTAATTTAAACCGGTATGCTACCTTAGTCGTGTACGATACCTTAATCTGCACAAATATCTCAACAAGATGATCTTGTCTGCCCTGAAAGTGTATAGATTTCTAGAATTAGAATTTCTGATTTCGAGCTCTGTTCTTGCTGAGAAGAGAATATGGATAAAATACATACTAACGTTCATTCAACAAAAGTTACACGTTCTGTATAGTAATGGTCTACATGAGTATAAAAGGTATTTAGAGATCGCAGTACTCTACTACACTGTAAGTCTTAGTTCCCATGATTTTTTTATTTTATGTTTTTCTAACAATTTAGCCATTCAATTTTATGGACCAGATTTGTGCTGCGCTAAAAGTTGGTCTATAACTGAGTCTTTGATAGAAAAGTTACACGGTAAGTCTTAGTTCCCATTATTTTTTATTTTATCTTTTACTAACAATTTATCCATTTAATTATATGGACCAGATTTGTACTGTGTTGAAAGTTTCTCTATAACTGAGTCTTTGATAGAAAAGTGGTTGGTAATAAAAAGTAGTCACTGCTAGTACGATATTCTAAGTAATCGCCAGTCTAAAGAATCAGTTAGTTGGCGCAACATTTTACCAAAATTGATTTGTCTGAGGAAACAGAATGTTGACTCTGCTGTCTATCTCTGCTCACATTATTGGTGATTGTACTGCTTTGATTTGGGTTAGGAGGAAATTGAGCCAAAAATATCTATATCCATTAGATGTTAGAATGTTATCAACTGCTGACAGTTTGAACTTTATTCGAAGAGTAGAGTGTCTTCTATTTAGTTAGGGTATGTATCAGCACAAAAGAGTATATATATAAAAAGAGTATATATATTAAAAGAGTATATAACATCTATATCCATTAGAGGTTAGAATGTCATCAACTGCTGACAGTTTGAACTTTATTCGAAGAGCAGAGTGTCCTCTATTCAGTTAGGGTCTGTAGCAGCTCAAAAGATTAACAATATTCGCAGTGCTCCGCTCCTCTGGGAGCAAATACTGTTTCTATTCTGCTACAAATGAATAAGTTTTTAAAAATACGGAATGATGTAACTTTTATTAGCAAAAAAGTCTGATAACTGGGAACGAGTTAGTATGTTATCTTTGATTTGATGATGTAATTTAGTAAAATAAATCCTGGTACTTGCAGTCTCAAAAATAATTATTTACGAATAATTAAATACAAGAATTATTTCCAAGACCACTGATGAAGGGTATTTGGCAATACTCGAAAACAGCTGTATGGTCAGCCAAAAATTCAATTAATTAAAATAATTTAAAAAATAAATTTTTGTTGTTGTTTCACTTCTGTTCGAAAACCTCTTTATGTAAAATAAATATTTAAAATATTAACATCGATTATTTTAATAGCTTAGGTGATATACATTTGCTAAGCAGAGGACTCGTTTAGTTAAACAGATTTCTAAGTAGATTTTTATAATAATGAAGACATGAGAAAAAATAAATACCAAAGAAAACGAATTATATTAAACAAAATCTTTATATATTAAATTTGTTAATACTGGAAGATAGAGAAGATAACACATCATTAATAATATTTTTTTCAACGAACACTAGAATACTTTATTACTTCTTTATATCTTCTTTACTTTTCTTACACTCCTTCATTTATGACTACCTCTTTATCGCGCATAGATACGTTACTACGGAAATGTGATTTGCCGTGAAAGACTGAGTGCGCTTGCTATAATTTTAAATCGTTGAGATACTTTAGTAAATCCATATAACCTGGTCGATTTTTTTAAAAAAAAAATCTTAGAGATTACTTATTCGTTGGAATTATGCATTTCTGCAGAAAATCGTCCTAAATTATTCACAACTTTAAAGAAATCTTTTATAAAATATTTAATTTAATTGGAAAAAGGATATTAAATTCCCTAAAGTGAATCATATAAAGTCACTTGAAATTTTTATAGTATAAATCTCATTCACACTTGACTCACAAGAAACGTCACTAAACTAAAAATAATTTTTGGATATTATCCTTTTATTACAATCGACACGCACATAAAGCGTGAACCCTAATCATACATATTTCCTGTGAACAGCTGCTTTCCAACTTCCCACGTAAGGTCAAGTCATGTGAGGATGGCTATAAAATCAAAACACACGTTAAGCTAATAAAAAGTCAATGTACGGGCTAAGTATGAATAAGTGAAATCTACAGAGAGCTCACATATAGAAATGAGAGCGTGTCTTATGCTCCATTTCTTGTGAAGGTGAGAATGCGCAGAACTTGAAATTACGCATTTATAAAAAAAACCACTAACCAAAACCATAGATGAAATGGAATTTTTGATTACTCAACGTGCCGCAATTATACCGCAGTTGTGAAAGGTTTCGAATAGTCGGAAACATTGAGAAAGTCAGGAAGGGTGCAAAATTCCAAAGAAGAAAAACACAATAGTGCAGTATTTGTCACATAAGATGAAGTTCAAGAACAGCTGTTCATTTCTCTTTACCTCTTCTGCAAAATTTTTCCTTTTTTACGTATATGCAACAGATACTCTTTTTCTCACTTTTAAGGGTGTTCTGTCTTTCTCTGACTCATTTAGTGGTTGCAAGGGAAACAGTGCGTTAAATTCAAATGGAAAATTATGTAAAATGGCTTTGTTACATTTTTATGTGTGCTGTTTACAAATATGTAAGGAATTTTACAGTTATTTGACCTTTCTATAACATTGAACTAACTAATGGCTTCGGTTTGGTAAAATATTCTTATAATTATTTTTGTATATATTGTGTGTTTTTCCAATCTAATGAGCATTATAAAAGAGGATTTGTAACTTTTTGTATTGTTTTCTTGTTATCATATAATGTTTAAATTATAATAAATGTTGACCTTGAAAGGTTATATATCATATTTAAACGGCATTGATAGGAGATTATTTAAATGGAATAATTAATATTAGACAGTTCATCTCTAACGTAGTGAAAAGGAATATTGAGGTTTATTCTTGATTCTGTTGTCTTCTTATTACTTAGTTTAAAATTTTATGATCTCACTGATAGATTTTTTT